AGATGTTACCTACTTACTGCACATATTAATGCTTTTGCACCATCACAGGTACTTTATAATGCTGGAAGTCATGATTCCAGTGGAGTGTAGGTTTGCATTAGTACATTCAAGGACATTGTTCATCATAAATACCTTCCTGTGGGGAGAGAGACCTGGCTAACCCACGGAGTTCAGGTTTCATACGTGCATATATGTAGGTTTTATGTATGTATAGAAAATGTATCTACATACGTGCTCATATAAATATATATAAACCTATATACATTAGGTGCTTGAATAAATAGGCTGCCACGGTCGCACGTGGAACTTTAATCAGAACATAAACATGAATTAAAAGCCGAGGCAGAGACTCAGTGTGTGGCAAGCCCAGGGTTTGTGTGTTTAGCACTGGGAGATGGTACATTCGCCCCTTTCTCATCCCATCTCTTGTCCCCCACTGCCACCACCTCTGCTTCTTGCGCTGTTGCTGGCTTCTCAGTCTCTCTGTGCCTGGAATTCGGGATCCTGACCACCAACTCCTGCACTTTGCTCGATTTCCAGGCTCTTCTGTGTTTCCCTTTGCACACACGTCAGCGGCTGCTCCACAGCAGAAGGGTCAGTCCTGCAGCAGACTGGTTTCCAGTGCCCCGCTGGCACTGGAGTCTACAGTAAGTCTGATTACACAGAGGAATCGTACCAGTGCTCTGCGTTACCAGCCTTTTCTTTATGGGTGTTAATCTTTTGTATTTTCACTGAAGCAAAGCAGCAAAAGGTAATGACTAAATAATCATGAAAATCCCTCAAGTCATATAAACTACAAATATTTAACAGAGTTCTATATGTTCCCAAATGCATCACATAAAAAATACCACAGACTAAATTGTGTGTAATAGTTACGGCCTCGTTTTTTCCCTCCAAATACTTCATGCATGATCTTTTGCCTCGAGTTGCTTCCCTGAGAGCTTCAGCACAGTTCTGGAAGGGATAAACCCACAGTGCAACCCTTCACGCTCACATAATTTACACAGACCAATGGGAAGGGTGGTAAATAGGTAGAGTCTCGCTCGGTTTCCATGTTATTGATCGCAGAAAATGTGTCTTTCTCACATTTAAACAGCTGTATTTACTTCATGTGTATTCATAAAGCAACATCTGATGACTGCACGAGAAAAAAAACGACGTTTCTGGGAAAGTATTTCCAGTGTCGGTGTATGTGGAACAATCAGTATGCATTGTAAATCGTGCAGGGGTGGCGGAGAGGGAGCCCTTGTGCTTGATAGCATTGTGAGTGGCAGATGACTTATTTATCACTTCTTCGGCGCGTGGTGTATTTCTGAATTAGGAAAAAAAAAACAAAACAAAAAAAAAAAACCACCAAACTACAAACCAAAACGCAGCGTGAGTCACGGCCATCGTTTCAGTAAAGAGACGTGGAAGATTTTTTTTTTGTCTTTCGTGCACTTGCAAACGCTTTCAAGTCAGCAGGGCGTTGGGCGGGTGTGTGTTTGGGGCTGAGACACCGCCAGAAGTGTTTCTTCCTCTGGAGAAGGACATGGGGGTGCTACTGAGCCCACATCCCTGAGGTGCTGCCCCTCTCGTGGGGCGCGCTCCCCCCGAGCCCCTCCGTCCAGGAGCCGGTCCCTTGGGTGGGTACTCACGGACGTGGCCAAAAACCTGCCCGAGAGGTGGCCCTGGGGGGGCATCTCGGGGAGGCGAATCACCCCATGGCGAGGTGTAAGGAGCCTCGGGTTGCGAGCGGGGCCGTACGCAGCCAGGTCGGGGGGGGACAGGGTACAAATCAGTCGCATTTGTACGGATTGCGGTGTTTTCCACGGCGCATCTCGTAAATGGCGAGGGGAGTTACTTTCAGAGCAAGAACGGTGATTATACACCCACGGTATGGTTGCATTGTCACCGATCTTTGTTGCTTAAGCGAATCCGGTACTCAGGTAAACTGGTTTGGGTGAGTTGAGTGAAAACTACTCGCTGCCTCGCTTCTGCCGAGAGAGCAAAGGCCTGCTGGTAAAAGCACGGCCTTCCCGGCCCAGCACGGTCTGGGCCTCCCACCGGTCGGTATTTCGGCTTCTGTATCTCCTCGCCTCCTGCCTTCAGCTCCGTCAGGGGTTCCCCGTGGAGCGGTGCCCTCGGTGTGTGCCGGGGCGCGGGGAGGCAGGAGCCGGGACGATGGCGCCGCGCGTCAGTCCCCCTCGGCGGCGGGAAGGGAGAGCGGCGGGTGCGTGAGGGTTGTGTGGACGAGGCGAGGGTGTGTGTCGGTCCGTTCGAGCCGCAGGTGCTTTTTCCGTTTTGTTCGAGCCGCAGGTGCTTTTTCACGGCCGCGGGATGCCGGGTCTGGCCTCGAGCCACCCCCGGGGCCGGGGCGGGAGCCGGCCGCGGTGCACAGGCCCTCCCGGGTTCACAAGCCCCGGCAGCCTCTTGTCTGCGACTCCGGAGCAGCTGCCTGCGAAGAATTTGGTCTTCAATACGCTAGACTAGACTGTTTCAGGCGGAAGGGGCCTACAGCCACCATCTAATGCAACACCCTGGGCACTTCAGGGCTGACCGAGCTAAATCGTGGTGGTAAGTCTCTCCAAATGGACACCAGCAGGCTCGGGGCACCCGCCGCCTCCCCGGGAAGCCTGTTCCAGCCTTTGGCCACCCTCTCGGGGAAGAAATGGTTCCCCTTGTCCACCCTGAACCTCCCCAGATGCGGTTTGGAGCCGTTCCCGGCCGTCCTGTCCCTGGAGCCCAGGGAGAATTGCTCGGCACCTCCCTCCCCACGCTTCTCCCTCCGCGTACCGTCAGATACCCTGGAGAGTAACGAGAACGATACTTAAAGTACTGAAGATCCTGACGAGTACTGCGTGGTGATAAACATTCTGTTCCTTAGTATTCCATTTGCACTACAAAATTAGTGTCAAACTGCAGACAAGGCAATATCCTTTTTTCCTTCTCGTCTCATTTCACTAGTGACATGCGTTTCTGAATAACTTTAAACATAATTTTATGCCGTAGTTCTTTTCCAATTTCTAAAATGGTTTCTGGTTTAAATGTAATTAAAATGACTGTTGTGAAATACAGGACAAGCAGAATTTATTCCAGCTTTGTATATACTTTGAAGTGCGATGTTAAGCTCTGGAAGACAACTCTGAATGTAAACAGCCCTTCTGCTTTTCAGTCTTTGATATCTGACTTTCAGAGGCCAGGATTGACAGGAGACGCCTTCCAAGGGCAATTACATGTGCAAGGAAAACTTTTACTGTGCCTTGGAAACCGATAAATTCAGAATGTCCTTTGCTGGACGTACTGTCCTGCTGGCTCAGCCTCCTTTAGGCACCTCTGGGTAAACAGAGGGTGTCGTCGTGGTTGATGATTAGTAAAGGACTTTTATTTGTTTGTCTGAACTCTGAGTCTAAATCATTAATTGATGGATAGTTGCAGCATTAATTAGATTGCTGGAGTTGTGACGGTGGCACGGCTGCCAGCAAACTTCAGCGGTCGTCAAATTGATATCAAGACTGGAGGGGGTGTGTGTATGCATTTTTTTTTTTACATATATTTTTATATACACACACATATATATGTAGTCATTATTAGAATTGGAATTTCTGCTGTCAGATCTAGTTACCAGTTATTATATGTGTATATGTGTACGTGTACATATATATACACATATTACATATAGGTGGGTGTACATATATATGTATATATATCATTGTGTATGTATGTACACCGTGAACCCTTTACCTGTGCCATAGAAATCAGTGATAATCTGTGTTCTTCTCTATTCTCTCCTCACCTTGTGCTTTGAAAGCCGTGGTCGCGATGTTGTTTTTTCTATTTTCCTTTAAATGTCAGTGAGGCAGAAGAAAAGGTTAAAGAGAGTTTTGTTATGGTAGATGATGTTTGCGAAGGAAACTGTATGGACAAGCTGACTTTATTATTTTTTTTTTTTTCAAATAACAGACAAAAATTATATGCTGACCCTGTGTCACAGTTGGAGAACACAGGGTATGTAAATATTAATGACTAACTCGCAAATTTAGAATTTTTAAGCGAAGCCCCAGATTTGTGGCGTTACAGAGAGGGTGCTCTGAGAAGCTATAGATAATTTCTTCTCGCTTTACGTGCAGTTTAAGTCGCCGGCGTGTGCGTGCCACTGCTGAAGAAACACGCTCTCCTGTCCCTTCTGGAAGGGTTTTCCTGAGCCAGGGTCACAGTGGGAACAGCAGAGCCAGAAAATCATACAGTGGTGGAACAGCAGGAAAAAAAGTGCAAATCATTTTAAGCCACGCAAGTTAAGAATCCCTCGGAGGTGTGTTTGAGTGAGGTGACGTGGCCTGGGTTGACAGGTTGATGTAGGCGTGTTTGTATTTTCAAAGCGTGTCCAAGATGTGGAACAAATACGCAGAATTTCGGGTTGTCTTTTGTGATGAGCAAATAGCTTTAATTTGCTTCCACCAGATCAGCAGTGTTTGCTTATCCGTTGCTCGCTTTGCCTTAATTTCTAGATTTTTCCAAAACCAGGTGTTACTATTGACCTCTCCTTCTTCCATTGGTTGGACATACAGAGTGTCCTGTAAACCGGCAGTTTTCTTCTTCTTGTTGAGAAACCTCCAAAGATGGCAAGGTCTCGGGGGGCTGTATGCTTCAAACCATAGGATTTGGGATTTGTCGCAGTGAAAGGCTTACTTGACCTAACTCTAACCGCTCGAGATAGGAATTTCCCCGCGTCCTGTGCGCAGCCAGGAGGTTTCTGTTGGGGATGTCGGGCTGCGTTGACGGCGAGGCTGCTGGGTGCTGATTTCTCGGCGCAGTGAGCGGGAGCCCAAGGGAGCAAGAAAACAGGATTTGAAATCCCCTCTGCCTTCGGGCTTGAAGAGATCAGTAACCGGTTTGAAACCAATCCTGCTCAAGAGGCTCGAAGCCCCTTTTCCGGGCTGGGCGGTTGGTAGAGCTCCTTAGGGATTTCCTTCACGATTGACCTCCCTTTTCTTCTGCTCTCCTTGCGTATTTTTGGGCAGGTGCAAGACCAAAGTCTACCCCGACGAACTGCCCAACACCAGCGTCGTCATCGTGTTTCACAACGAAGCCTGGAGCACCCTGCTCCGGACGGTGTACAGCGTTATAAACCGCTCGCCGCCCCGCCTGCTCTCGGAAATCATCCTGGTGGACGACGCCAGCGAGAGAGGTGGGTTTTGTTTTTTTTTTTTGGGGGGGGGGGGGGGTCCAATTCTGGGCTCGGGGGCGGAGGTTGGGCATCGCCTCCTCAATCCCACGGACGGTGCTCCTGGCCCCGCTGTCACCGGGGCGTTTCTGCACGGGGGTGGGCACCTCCTGCTGCCGGCAAAGACGCTCCTTTTCCTTTTTCACATCCCTGGCTGGCTCTCAACCCACCCCCCCTCCCCTCCCCGTTCTGGATTTCACATTTTCCTGAATAGCCACACTGAGACAATTTCCTCGGGTTGCTCATATTTCTGCTCCATTTCTTCTGGTCAATCGCTCTTTTATTATTTTTCTTTTTTTTTTTTTTCTTTTTTCTTTTTTTCTTTTTTTCCTTTCCCCTTTTTTTCCCCTTCTCCCCCTTTTTTTTCCCCCTTCTCCCCCTTTTTTTTCCCCTTCTCCCCCTTTTTTTCCCCCTTCTCCCTCTTTTCTTTCCCTTCCCCCCTTTTCCCCCCTTTCCCCCCCTTTCCCCCCTTTCCCCCCTTTCCCCTCTTTTCCCCCCTTTTCCCCCCTTTTCCCCCCTTCTTTCCCCCCTTTTCCCCCCTTCTTTCCCCCCCTTCTTTCCCCCCCCTTCTTTCCCCCCCTTCTTTCCCCCCCTTCTTTCCCCCCCTTCTTTCCCCCCCTTCTTTCCCCCCCTTCTTTCCCCCCCTTCTTTCCCCCCCTTCTTTCCCCCCCTTCTTTCCCCCCCTTCTTTCCCCCCCTTCTTTCCCCCCCTTCTTTCCCCCCCTTCTTTCTCCCCCCTTCTTTCCCCCCCTTCTTTCCCCCCCTTCTTTCCCCCCCTTTCCTCCCCTTTTCCACCCCCTTCCCCCCCATCCCTGCTCCATTCTCCCCAACTTTTTTTTTCCCATTTTCCTCTTTCTGCTTTTGCCTTTCTTTTTCTTCTTTCCCTTCTTCTCCTTTCTTCCTTTTTTTTTTTCTTTTTTTTTTTTTTTTTTCCCCCTTATTAAACACCAGGGTTTAGAAAGAGAACTGTCTGCCTGTGAAACTGATATTACCTGGAAAAGCAATCACATTACATTCTATAAATGGAATCAATGGAATGATAAATTTTCCTGGGGTAGCCAAATGTACATAATGGCAAATACAACATCCAGCTGCAACTGTTCAAGAGACAGAGGATGTGAGCTAAACCGCTCTTTATTTCTGCTCCATGCAGCATTAACTTAACTCTATTTACTCTCCTGGATTTTCCTGCTTCGGAAGACAAGTAGCCTTAATGTTTCTCTGTGCCAAAAGGTGGAGGAGGACTTTAGCCCAAGTAACTACAATTTTTCCTAAAAGCAAATTTTGGGATTCCTAAAGGGCCCAAATGGTGAAATTTGTCAAAAATGGCTGTATTTGTATTTAACCACATAGAAATTAGCAAAAGAATAATCATTCTGCACTCGCTAGCGATCGCTGCTGTGTTTCAAGGGAACTGATCGTGACTTATTTCAAATTTCTGGGATATTTTCCTGAGATGCTCCGGGAGGTGTGTGTGTACGGATGGGCCGTCTTCCCCGTGGCTGCACCGAACGCGGTGCCAGCGTGAACCTCCCTAGCTCAGCTGTCCCTTTTCAGAAAAAAAAAAAACAAACAAACAAAAAAAAACCAAGACAAACCCCACCTCTTAAATATGTTTCCTGCGTTGTGGCAGTCTGTGGAGGGCCGAGCGTGACGCATAAACTCCATGGTAATATTTGGAGTCGTCGGCGGTCGGCTGAACCTGGCTGAAAAATAACTTTTTTCCTTCTGTTCGCTGGTTTCTTTCCCCCCGCCCCGGGCTTTGGCAGAGTTTCTGAAGGCCTCGTTGGAGAACTACGTGAGGAACCTGGAAGTCTCCGTCAGAATCATTCGGATGGAGCAGAGGTCGGGGCTGATCCGCGCGCGGCTCCGCGGGGCCGCAGCCTCCAAGGGGCAGGTGATAACGTTCCTGGACGCGCACTGCGAGTGCACGCTGGGCTGGCTCGAGCCGCTGCTGGCCCGGATTAAGGAGGACAGGTAAGGGTGGCCGTCCCACCCCCGGGGGCAGGGGGCACCCCCCCTGCCTCCTGCCCAGCCCTTGGTTTCGGGCTGCCGCCAAAAAAATAGAAGCGAGAGCGATTCATCCATCTGAAAATTGAGATTTACCTTTTTTTTTCTTTATTGTATTATTTATCGCGAAGGGATTCTCTGCTGTTGGTATCCAAATGTGATTTCTACATCAGCACGCGATAAGGTTTTCAGTCTTGCAGCAGGATTGCTGCTGCGGGCAGTAAGAATAATAATGTGGGTAACAGGGGGGCCCTGGGCCGTTGACCCCCACCCTGACAGCTGCCTCCCCCCCCAGCTTCTCTCTGTGTGACCCACTACGTGCTGAAATCTGCACTCTTTTCCCCACTCTTTCCCCTTTCCCCCCCATTCCCCTCACTTTTTTCCTCTTTCTTCCCCACTTCTTTTTTTTCTTCCCCCCTTCTTTCTTCCTTCCCCTCTTCTTTCTTCCCTCCCCCCTTCTTTCTTCTCTCCCCCCTTCTTTATTTCTCCCCCCTTCTTTCTTTCTTCCCCCCTTCTTTCTTTCTCCCCCCTTCTTTATTTCTCCCCCCTTCTTTATTTCTCCCCCCTTCTTTCTTTCTTCCCCTTCTTTCTTTCTGCCCCCCTTCTTTCTTCCCCCCTTCTTTCTTTCTTCCTCCCCTTCTTTCCCTCTCCCCCTTCTTTCCCTCTCCCCCTTTTTTCCTCCCCCCCTTTTTTCCTCCCCCACTTTTTTCCTCCCCCCCTTTTTTCCTCCCCCACTTTTTTCCTCCCCCCCTTTTTTCCTCCCCCCCTTTTTTCCTCCCTCCCTCCCTCTCTTTTTCCCTCTTGTTTCTTCCCCCCCCCCCTTTACTCTCTCCCCCTTTTTTCCTCCCCCATCAAGCCCCCATCAGCAGTGGTAACTGGGGTTTTATGCAGAGGAGCCTCAACATAAGTGCAATATCCAGCATGCTAGCATGTAAACATAAATATTTTGTTTAAGAGCCTTTTTTTTTTTTCTTTTTTTTTTTTTTTTTTTTTCCTTACAGGAAAACTGTTGTCTGCCCAATCATTGACGTGATCAGCGATGACACATTTGAATACATGGCTGGATCAGATATGACTTATGGAGGCTTTAACTGGAAACTTAACTTTCGCTGGTATCCAGTTCCCCAGAGAGAGATGGACAGGAGGAAAGGAGACAGGACCTTGCCTGTGAGGTGAGCGAATCGAGAGCACTCTGCTCTTTGACTCTGCTGTCACCTTGTTTATGTAGATGATAATGCTCAATACCTAAGATTTTGCTGCAGTATCAGAGAACACATGGCACAATTAAGGATAGGTCAGATTGTGGTCTTCTCTACCCTGATCTATCCTTAGTGCTGCAATGTAGTTATCAGAGCTGAGAAAACTCATTTATATCTTCTTTTCGACATTCAATAATTTAAAATATTGCCTGCTTTTTAAGTTCCCTCTATATCTGTTTTCTGCAACCAGCCTGTTGACCTTGTGCTTACAGATGTTACTGTTTTTTCATAATTTAAGGCAAATATTAGAACATATTTCTGAAATATGCACTTTTGGACATTGAACCCAAGTATTCGGTTATGACGATTTGCACTTCAAATGCATGCTTTTATTGCCTAGAAAATAAAATTGATGACTGTGCACACTGGTTAAAAATGATCTAAGAGTGTGGCCTGTGATCATTCCTGACCTCTTGCATTTAATTGCTCAAACCATGGACTGTAACAAAACCTCTGGAAAGATTTAAAATGAAGCTGAAACAGAACAAATTGAATAAATTACTTGCAATGGATTGTTTGCTCAGCTCTAATAGCTTCAGTGGTCTTCATGAAAAGTTTGGGGAAAAAAAAAAAAAAAAAACAAACAAAACAAAACATGAGAAAAAATGGTGCTTTCACAAGTGGATGTAATGGTTTCAAACCTGTGAGAGAGACATGATGAAGTGGACAGAATTCCAGTCCTGCATACCCCCGATTGTGCAACAGGCAGATAAAGGGAGAGCCAACTCAGGGGACAGCACTCACAGCACAGCTTTGCGAAACACTTCCAGGTAAGGCAGTGCTTGGGCAAAGAAAACCCTTTCAGAATTATTGATGCTGGAAACTGGCCCAAATCCGTCCTTTTTTTTTTTTTTTTTTTGGTCCTTCGAAGCCTGGAGTCAGGGAAGGGCTGGATTTTTTAGATTCTGTTCTCAGGAAATAACCTCGGGAAAAGCGAGAGGTTCCCCAGAGCAGGAGCGGACCCTGCCGTTAGCAGAGGGGGGATGAAGCTATTTTTGAGTGGAGAGCTGGCTTTCTCATGCTCTAAATTATTATCGCAGGCAGCTATTTCATTCCAGCTGAGGTGTGTGATTAATTACCCTAACGAGCTGCGGAGCCCCACGCCGCGCCGGGGTTTCCAAAGAGACGCAAATCTCAGTTCTTATTTCCTTATCTTGAAATGGTGCAGGACTTCAAGTTAATCCAGAATCAGACATGTTATTGACTCTTAAAATTAAAACCAAAAGAAAAACAATAGCTTGCTTCTTGCTTCTTTTTTTTTCTCTTTTTTTTTTTTTTTTTTTTTCCCCCTTCCTCCTTCTGTTTTTTTTTTTCCCCCACCAGCTTTTAGCTGGTGATTGATTGCCGGGGCTTCTGGTAAGACGGGTGTTAGCAGAGCGTGGGTGAAGCAGTCAGAGGTCCATGCCAAGTGCCACGTGTCCCACAGTTCTCACTCAGACAAGTGGTTTAATGTGGAGAGGTGGCTCTGGGGGGGTGTCATTGTGCTGGATTAAGACCAAAGTGTCGGCTTTTAGACATACAGGTGCCCTCCCTGACCACGTAGCGGGGGCATTTCAGCCTCTTCGGAGTCAGAAGACGATGCTCCCTCTTTCATTTTCCCTTCTACCCGACGGGAGGGGAACCAGCAGTGCAGGGAGCCGTGGAGCAGCTTTCCTGGGGGAAACTACATTTCATAGGCCATCGGCTGCGTTCCGCGCTAGCTGGTGTTTCCAAAGGTTTATCAAAAGCAGTCCAGGAGACTGCGGCGGTAAATCGGGAGGCGTCGGAAGCACAGTCACAAATTCTGCATGCAAAGGGGAAAAGTAGAATATTTCAGCTAAGTGAAGAACGGTTTTGGCAGCTCCTGCCACCTGGCTGTTCAATAAATGAAGGGTAAAAATAAACAAAAGCCTAACCCATGCCAAAAATTTAGAAACAGATTGGTGAGTTCTTTTTTTTTTTTTTTGTTCCACGTTGCTTTCCGCGTTCTGTAACGTTATTTCAGTCTCACGTAGATGTAATATGTCTTTATTCACATTTTTATTTTGTAATCAATGGAACAAGTAGAGAATATATAAACAGCATTGGCTTACATGTTTCTATGCACGTTTGCATAATAGAACCGTTGCACTCAAATTCTGCTTTTTGTTGCATTAAAATTCCATGTAATTGACAAAAGTTTTACTCAAAACCTCTTCCGTAATAACATCGATACATTCCTACCTTTGCTATTTAAGATACGTTTTCCAACTGGGAATTATTTCATCGACACTTTATTATTTATATTTGCATTAATTATTTATTGTATTAATAATTTATACAAATTACAAATTTCTATTAATTTGCATTATTTTATAAGTGTTTTTACGGAAGGTAGCAGAACAGCGTACTGACACAAGCTTGCTAGTGGGTATGAAGAGAGCTCAGCCCTCACACCCGCTGTGACCCCCAGCCCCAAGGAAATTAAAGGCAGGAGAGGAGGGTGCCTGGCCCTTTCTCGTTCCCAGATGTGACGCGCTGCTTGCTTGTCTGCCTGGGGACTTCAAGGAGCTGTGAAATTCCTGACTTAGGTACTTGAGCCGGCTGAAATACCTGCCTTTGCTGGGATCTCTAGTTTGAGTGGGAAAAGGTTAATGAATTCGGTGACTCTGATTTCGGAACCCCACAGCTAATTGTCACGCGGCACCGCTGTACAGGAGTTTCCGTACGGACACGGTAGAGGAGCCAGCCCGTTTGTCCCAGCCCTGGCAAACAGAGCGGGGGGTCTGCTCCGAGCGCCGGACGGGGATGCTCCTCCTGCTCTTTGCTCCCAAGGCCCTGCCACTTTTGCCCCTCATTTTCCTCTTCTGGTTCTTAAACCCCAGCCTGACGTCCCTTCTCATTTTCTTCTTCCCTTACCTGGTTTTTCTCTCAGGTCAGCTAACGCCACGATAGCGTAACCTTTCCCAGAATAGTCTAAAACGGTAACTCTTCCCCAAAGAACCAGAGGTTCTGCACAGGTAGCAAAAGCCTTTCCAGTTTGCAAACGGTCCCAGTTTAAAGGCGGTAGATGAAGGGGGGGACGTGTCCTGGGCAAAGAGAGAAGTCAGTGGTCATCAGATACTGGGATTTCTTGGGTTTTTTTTTTGGGGGGGTTTTTTGTTGTTGTTGTTGTTGTTTGTTTTTTTTTGTTTTTTTTTTTTTTTCACAAATGTACTTACATTTTTTTGACACCTACAATGATCAGAAGGAAGAGTAACATCAGGGAGCTTTCAGTTCGTGAGGTGTCTTTGCTAGGCCTGAAACTATCAAGTGGGAACAGGAAGGGGACATTTAGATGAAATCCCCGAAGAAAAGATTCGTCCTGTAGACAGAGCTGTTCAAGACCAATATTTCATTCTCTGAGGTTCGTTAGGGTCAGCTGAAACATATTTTTTCGGGTGTATTTGCAGAAATCAAATATGGACTGTGGCTTGGAGTGCAAATGTTGCCTGAGCCCTGGAGGGGCTTCTGGGTGTTGCTTCAGGGGTACGTTTCTGACTTGGGAGGGTACAGCAACCCCCAAGGACTCGTGTCAGGGGGCACATACGTATTTTAATTTGTTTGAACAGCAAAGGTTATTCATTGCTGTTCTGGCGCACCTCAGGATTTATACCGTGTTTCCATATTGAGCAAATACTGTAACTCCCACTGCCACCAGTAACCTCCGGCTCTGTAAACGCTGTTAAATTATCAGACCTTGTCAAAATGTGTTACTGCAAAGTGCAGAGCCCCTTTGTGGGCCCGGAGGGCTCTCTGGGAGCAAAACCCGGGTGGTTGCCCCGTGCCGTGGTGGAGCTTAGAGCTGAAGGTTCCTGCAGATGGAGGGGTGGATGATGTGGGACCTGCGAGAGCAGAGATCCCTGGGCAGTGCAGTTCTCAGGTGAGCTCGGGTCAGGGGTAAAGGTTCCCGGGTAGTGCCAGCTGTAGCCAGCAGTCTTGCGAAAGCTCTCGTTCTTCTTTTCCCACGGAAAAATCCCTGCACGATATTTGCACTTCGCAGGGCATCCTTTGCCTTTAAGGGAACTCGTTTCTCCTTCTGTGATTTTTGCCTCCAGCGCCAGAAAACTTCTCTGCAGTGAGATCGGTTTACAAATACCTTTTTTTACATCTACAGTATGAAAAATATAAAGTATGTCTGTGCCGGACAGTTACAGTCTCTCCGCAGCACGTTTCTGTGGGTATTTCCATACTTGCCCTTAGTTTTGTTCTGCTGAAGACACTCCAGGCTAGTATTAGAAATACCAAAAAAAAAAAAAAAAAAGAGAATATGGAAAATCTCTTCTCAAGCCTAAATTCGTTACTGAGGGGAAAAATACAAGCTCAAATATTAGGAGCGTATTTTATTTGTCATCTTCTTACGGCTGATTGAACTTCGAGTTGACCAGAACTAGTGCCGCCTGGGTGATGGATGGGCAGCGGTGTTGGGTGTAAGAATCCTTTTTCGGAGCTACGTCACCCGTGGTCTGGCCCGTTAGCGGCGTTGCCGTTGTGCCTGTCGGTCCCCGTGGGCGGGTGCGCGGGACGGGGGGCTGGGAGGGTGCAGGGTGAGGTGATGTTCCGTGGCTTTTGGGGGAGCTGCCGGCCCGGGGGACCCGTGGCAGCCCCCCTCCGGGCTTTGCCTCCCCGGCTGGGTCCGAGGGGTCGGGGGGGGGGGGATGAGGCAAACCCCGGGGGTTCCCGCGCTGCCTTTATGTTGGGCAGCTCTTCCTGTGGGAACGCAAAGGTGCAGGCGCGGGGATGGGAACCCTGCTTGCTGCTGCTAATAATTGCAGGGAGGAGAAGCGGACGTGAGCTCTGAAATAAAATTAGAAGCGGGTTTGAATGATGATCGGGGTTAATCATAACATACTCCGGTCGTTGTCAATACGACTCCGAGTAGGCAAAACATGGCTAATAGGTGCAAAGCTGGGAAAAAACCTGTAGGAACCCTTACTCTTTCTAAAATTACCATTTCAGCCGTTTTTACAGTGAGAGCTCTGCAGATCTGTTTGTGTAACATTAAATTTATCTAAGAGGGAATAGTCCTGCCTGCTGTGTTTCAGTTATCTGAGACTCCGCGGTGTATATGGGCGCACAGTTACTTCCATTTTACAGCGTGAAACTCAGCACTTCCAATTCCAGGTAGTGAGTTATTAGGGAAACACTGTCTGGTTTTCACAAATAGGTGCTGATGACATTTCAGAAGAACCCAGATCTGTGTGTACACCTCAGCTGCATTCATTCAACAGTTACTGAAGACTGAATCTTTGCAGAAATGGGAAATTCTGTGCCGTTACAGCAAAGACCCTCTTCCTCCCAGGAAAGAAAGGAAAGGAGGAAGAAGCAGAGGAGGGAGAGGGTGAGGGGTTTTGTTGCAGGCAGAGGGGTGGGGATGATTTTATTCGTCTGAAACAAGCAAAGAGAGCCACTGCGGTGAGGTTGGTGAGGATGGGAGAGCAGGGCAGGCGGGAGCTGAGGTTTCTTCACGCGCTGCTGGGCACGGGCTCCTCAAAATGTTTGGGCATCGCTGTGGGTCTGAGGGGGACTCGGCCAGTTGTCAGGTAGGTGAGGAACCCAAGTCCTGACGCAGCTTTTGGCATCAGTCTAAACAGCTTTGCATAGATTTCTAGGTGATCAACAGTCGAAATTTCTTTTAAATACTGTATTTTCGCACTGGTATTTATTTGGCACAAAGCTGCTTCAGTTAAGAAAGATTTCAGGGTCGGCTTTATTCTGTGCTCCCCGGACCAGAAGGTCTTTAGCTTTTGTGGTACCAGTCAGGTGGAGGGTCGCACCGCCCGGCCGGTCCCATCTGCTTGCAGAGGAGCTCGGGGGGGGGCAGCGATACTGTTTGTGGCAGAAACCCAGCAAGGCTGAGGGGCAGCACAGCAGCTTTGAAACCGGGGAGGGTTTAGCCCTGTCCAAAATGACAGTTAATCAACTGAGCTTTCAGTGCGGAGAGCAGGGGGAGAAAAATAGAAATGAAGTGTTGGTAAACTCAGCGTCCAGTATTATTTCACTGCTAAACCGTAGTTTGTTGTTGTTGTGTTTTTTGGTTTTTTGTTTTTTTTTTTTTTTTTCTGGGAGTAATGATAGTCAGCTCTTGCAGAAGAGGAAATAATCGCACAGCAGGCAAATTACCCGGGTTTGTTGAGTTTGGGAGTAAGGCTGCCAGGGCTGCGTGTGGTGCCCCCCGCGGGAAGAGCTGCGTGGGGCACAGCACCGTCACCTTGGGCGGCCACACCTGGGATACTCTGCCCAGTCTTGGTCCCCGCTGTGCAAAAGAGATGTGGCCAAGGTGGAGGGGGTCCAGAGGAGGGTCACAGAGCTGAGCAAGGGCCGGGGGAGGGCTGAGAGAACTGGATTTCTTCAGCCTTTGGAGGAGAAGGCTGAGAGGAGACCTTATCCCCATGCTCCAGTATTTGAAGGGTGGCTCCGAAGAAGACGGAGGCTCCCTGTGTGCAAGGAGTCCCGTGGAAGAGACAAGGGGTAACGGGTACAAGTTACACCTGGGGAGATTCCAACTGGACACAAGAGGAAGATGTTTCACCACGAGAACAACCAGCCACGGGAATAATCTCCCCAGGGCAGGGGTGGATTCCCCAGCATTGGACCCTTTTAAGATTCAGCTGGGCAGGGTGCTGGGCTGGCTTGTCTAGACCGGGCTGTGCCCAGAAAGGTTGGACCAGCTGATCCTTGAGTCCGACCTTGAAGCCGACCTGGGGTCTGATAATTTTGTGATCCCCGCAGGTCCCCGGGCATCTGCACTCTGTGTGTGTGCGTAACCCCCACGCTGAGCCGTAACTCAGCGCCGTGGTGCGGGGTGCTGCCCCTGAGTCACGCTGCCTGCAGGACACACGGAAGCTGCTGGAGGAAGATCTGAGACGGGCCCAAGGGATTCAGCTCCTGCCACGGGTGGGGAGTGCCCGTGAAGCCCCTCTTCCAGCTTCTTCCTGCGTTGCACGTGCGCGGTTTTGTGGCTGTCGAGTTGCTTTTCAGAGAAATGCGGGGAGCTTGGTCGAGCTCCTCAGTGTTTGCGTCAGGCTGCCTCCGAACACAGGAGCTCTCGCAGAAACTGAGTTTTGGCCGGGCAGGAGCGCTGATCCTGGAAATGCTGCACTTGCATGGGTCTAATCTGACCGGCTGAGTATCGCGTATTCCTGACAGTCTTCACAACCAGTTGGCTGAATAAATAACTGGAAGAACGGCTTCGTCTTTGCGAGCGAATCCTTTGCAGACAGCCCGTAGCGACCGGCGTGTTTTGGGGGGGGGGGTTGCACAGGTCAGGGTGTGCATTTTCAAAACCCGGGCTTGCCCGCTTTGCTGTTGTTTCTGAACCTGAGGACAGAAACACACGGCTGATGCTTGATCGACGCCCACGTCGACGTGCCGGTCAGTCCTCGCCTGCAGAGCCCGTCGGCGGGGGGACGCCGAGACCCCCGCAGGGCCCTTGGGGCAGAACTGTCACCCCACATCCCACCCCAGCATCTGCAGGGGGACCCGTTTGGGCTTAAACCCAAATGTGTTTGGGGTTTCAGCAGCTTGTGGGAGAGCCGCGGTTTTGGTGGGTCTGCCCGGGTGCAGGAGGGCAGAGCCGTGTTCCTGCTGGCTGCATTTTTCATTGCAGGTAGACTTCAGGCTTGCATTTCATTTCAGGTAGATTTGGGGCTTGCATTTCATTTCAGGTAGACTTCAGACTTTAATTTCATTTCAGGTAGGCTTTGGGCTTGCATTTCATTGCAGGTAGACTTCAGACTTTCATTTCATTTCAGGTAGATTTGGGGCTTGCATTTCATTTCAGGTAGACTTCAGACTTTAATTTCGTTTCAGGTAGACTGCAGACTTTCATTTCATTTCAGGTAGATTTTGGGCTTGCATTTCATTGCAGGTAGACTTCAGACTTTAATTTCATTTCAGGTAGATTTTGGGCTTGCATTTCATTGCAGGTAGACTTCAGTCTTGCATTTCATTGCAGGTAGACTTCAGGCTTGCATTTCAGGTGAGCATTTTTCATTTCAGGTAGACTTCAAATGCTGAAAACGCATAGAGCAGATATTTACGGGGAAATAGGACATCTTTACACAAAGAGAAGTTGCACTCTGACTGGATTTGCCTGTTGTAAGGATTTATAATCCTGTTAAGAGAGATTATGCCTGGTAATTTTATGCACATTTAGTCTCCCTCTAAGGCAAAGCTGAGGCATTAAACTCTCTTCACTAAGCATTTCAGATTGGATTTGAACTGCTGTGCCGGATGCAGAAGGCCAAAATTCCATCCACTTTACCATTACAATGCTGCTGAAATAATCTCTGGAAATGTGGTTTTGCGGGTAGGAAGCAGTCCTGCAGCTCTCACTCGGGCAGCGCTCTCATCGGTGCCGGGGGAGCTCTGCCCGAAAGGCAAGCGCCCAGAGTGTGCAGTCAAAACCATATTATTATTGTTAGTAGCTTACTTTTAAGTTGCTGTACATGGAATATATTTACAGTCGAAATGTCTGAGGTAGTGAAATGTACTGTAGTGTCACTTATTAAATTCCACAGTGTCTTTCAAAAGGTATTTTTTCTTTTTCCTCTTTTTTTTTTTTTTTTTTTTTTTTTTTTTTCTGTTTGTTTTCAACTAGGACCCCTACTATGGCTGGTGGCCTATTTTCTATTGACAGAAACTACTTTGAAGAGATAGGAACTTACGATGCAGGAATGGATATCTGGGGTGGCGAGAATCTTGAAATGTCTTTTAGGGTAATTGCCATTTTCCTTCATTTTCTGTCAACAAACACAGTTGTGCTGTAACGGTTCCTACGCTGCGGGCAGGGCGCTTCTGCTTTAGCTGTCATGCAAGTCATGGGTTAATTTAAATTCTCAAGATATTTGGGAATGCCTCATTATAGTATTTTGGTCCTTTTTTGCTGCATGAAACGTTTTATTACTGTTTAGAAACTTTTACACTTTAAAAAAAAACATGTATTTTAGTAATACCTTGCTTTATAAAAGAAACGAGGCTTTCTGTGAGCTGGTGCAAATGCTCACTGACATAAACAAGATATAAATTTGTATAGCGTAAAAAAAAAAAATCAAATATATGTTTTAACAAAGTTTTTGAAAGTGTATATTGTCATGAACTTGCAAGTCCTGGCTGGGATTTTTATTCTGTGTGAGAGCTGAGCTCGCATAGAAATTTCACATCCTGCAGAAAAGCGCTGGTATTTCTGCCGGGGATAGGTATGTTGCCCATGACAAGAATAAAATCTCTTTGAGTGAAATGCATTTAGTAATTGTCCTTTAGACGTAAAGGAAAATTGGAAAATTGAGTCTTTGATAAATAATTGTTAGAAAGGATGTTGAAAATTACTTGGAACGTCTCTGATGTATCACAATTTATGCACATGGAGTAAGTATGCAAAATAAACCCTGGTATGGTATGGTGGGTTTGGTTTTTTTTTTTTTTCTCTTTTGTCTTCGGCCGGGGCTGGTAGACTATTGCCTATTGACAGAAACTACTTTGAAAATTTTTGTGAAACAGGTATTTCTAGAGAAGATCAACTGCATTTTCGGGCCATTTTCTGAATTTGAAAGCATTTTCAGGGCATTTTCTATAAACTATAATAGTTTACTTTCCGGTAAAATAAAAGAGTAGAGTTACTTCTGCGTGTGGATTTCAACATTTTTTTGGTATGTAGAGCCCTAAGAGTATTCCTTGGATGTGTGTAGGCCCCTATACAGGAGCTTATTTTTAACTTAAGCCTGTTAGCAGGCTTATTTTTCGCATCTTAAGAAGTGATCCCCGGAGCAGGGAGTGCCTAGCGCTGCTTTAAAGCGTTAAATATGTGTCTGTCGTAGACTAAATCTGCGTATTACTGTTCATTTTTCACCGAGTATCAGTGTGTGATTTCTGTAAAGTGACGATCACCCAGGTCATTGAAATTTTAAGATCGGAATTGCTGATGCACGTTAAACCCTGACAGAGGGAACCTCGAAGCCGTTCGTTGTTGCTGGCGTTGGTTATCGCTTGCAGTGAACCTTTTGCGGGACCAGTTTTGGGTCGTTACCGTGGAAAGGTCCCGTTCTCAGTGGTGAAGAGTCTAACATATTTAGCTCTCCTTCTGGAAGAGCACTGCTTTTCATCCGAAAAATGATAATCCCCCCAAAAAACCAACCCTGATACAAAGGGACAGGCAAAGCGATTTTTGTTACGAGTCCGTAATGCAGAATATGTGGACGTTGATTCTCCGTGGGCTTCCTTTGGCAGTGGCTGGTTTTGTTAACAAAGCTACAAATATCGATCAGTTTTCTGTCAGGCCTCGTAAGCGCAACAGAATAAAATAATTTACAATTCCGCGGCCTTTTCCCGCTCCCTGGAGTAATCGATTCATTTTGGCAGAAAGCATTTGATCTCCTGCTGAGTGAGAGCAGGACGGGAGCGTGCGTTCGGCTTGCAGCCTATGCTCAAAAAATGCCCTGGCTAGGATGTTGGGAATGCCTACCCTTGCTGGGTTAGCGCTAATATATTTTGAAAACCCTTCCCGAGGAGCTCAGCGGGTTGATGGTGGTGTTCCCGGTTTCGTCTCGGGCTGTCCTGCTCCGGCCCTTGGCGGCCGCGGGGGATTCGTGGCGCGAGCCCACCAGCCCCTTCCCCGGGCTCATCCGGGTTTTGCGGTCGCGGGTGTCGCAGGTCGAGCCCGTTCCTCTGCCTTTGGCACAGTTCCTCTGCTCCTGGGCACTTCTATAATTTATATAATACAGACAACAAAACTCAGAGGGTTTGTTTCTATGTGTTTTGTTTTGGTTTTTGTTTTTTTTTTTTTTTTTTTTTTCCTTCCCAAAATAATCATTGCCCCGAGTCCTGTTTCCGACCGGACTTGAATTCTATCCGATGCTTAGCGTGAGCAAGGCAGTGCTGAGCTTAACTTGTGTAAATTTTGTGAGAATTCTGTCACGAGGTCTTCAGTTCAGCTTTAAAATAAAATCTCGGCCCAAAATACGTGGAAAGACGAAGACCAACAGTAGCTGTGCTCCCCGTGGAAAGCCCCGCTGATAAAGGCAGGGAAGCAGCTCTGCCGTTACTCTTATTTTACTCGTTGAGACTGAGGTGGGGGGAGCGAGGAGAATGAATTTGCTGGTGGACTCTTTGGGCATGGCATCAGAGAACATTCTTTGCTGTCTTTGGAAGGTTTTCCCACTTAAACTTCAAGAAACATTACCAGCGTGGGAAGCGTGCATCAGCCTAACGAGAGGGCAGGGTGTCAAGAATAGAAATAAAATGATGTGCTTCCAGCACCGGGAGATTGCCATGGAAATGCCGGCAGCCACGCTGATGCTGTTCCTTGGTGTTTAGAGCCTTTGTCTGTAAAAAAAAAAAACAACACATTGTCAAGTGCATCGAGTACGGCTGGATCAATAAAATCCTATATCTGATGTAAAACATCTGCAGAAAATGGGTAGCAAAGGGTGCCGAGGGGCTGGGGAGGTTCCTCCAGCAGCCGCCCTACACACCTGCAGTTATCCCAGAGGTTGCCAGAATATCTCATTGCCGTCAGGAAAACACTGAGGCTAAATCTTGGTTTGGAAAATTACTGTAATAGGAGTCAGCCAAAAGGAGCTCTTATTACATTGGGTGGTTTTGTCAGCGAATGGGAAGGGCACAGTTTTGGTGTTGGTCCGGTAGTCAGAAAACAACCCCCCAAACCATCCCCCCCCCAATGGGTATTTCGTCTTTTAGCTCTGCTGCTGCTCGTGGCTGAACGAATGATGCCTTTTGGAGGGTGTCTGTTAATTATGGCAATTGGGAGGGAAAAAGAATAGATTCTGGCGGGAATCTCTTATGGCTGTAAGAGTCTACTTTAGCAAATGAAAACCTTATTTATTCTTCAACATTTACCGTATTTTTATTTATAGAATTCCTTAAACGTTTTTAATTTTCTGTCAGATTCGGTAAGTGTTTTTTCCCAGTTGGAGAATTCCCTGTAAAACAGGGTAGTCAGAAAGGAGCTCTTGGAGCTCTGGAAAGGGTATTAAAAGTAATCTGTCCGTCAGCAAAAAAAAATAGATTATTCTTTAGAATAATCCAAGTAGGCCAAAGCAAGGCTAGAGAAAACCAACGCGTACTCTACCAGGAGTAAGATGCTGTTTGCTCTTGGTTTTCTGGCAGCTGTTAGAAGTGCAGGAGAGGGGATGGGGAGGTTTCCATACGCATTTCCTAAGGAGGGGGACATACGTCGTCCTGGGTCTCAGAAATTTCTGGTTTGACCGTTGCAGGAATTCCTGTAGGAAATGAACGAGGAGCGAGGCTGTTGAATTCGCTTCTAACTGAGCGTGGTGTCTGATCTTCACAAATCCTCCGATTCCAGCACGTGGGAGTCTTCGTATGGCCCAAGGGACTGCCTCCCCGAGGAGGGGGCACGGCCCAACCGCAGCCCCCGTCCCGTCCCGACCCGCTCGTGGTGCTTGAGGAAGCTTTTCCCAGAATATTCCAGAATATTAACAGCAATTTTTCAGCCACCCCCTATGTGAGGTCTCAACTTGGGGCTGCAAAATTCTAGGTGTAAGAGAGCATTTCAACGCGCTTGAGGGGACGGGTTGAGCGGAATCCTGGATTGGGATTTTTGCCGTGTGTGGCCGCTGGCGGGGCTGGAGAGATTAATTCTCAGAAGTGCGCGGTGACCCTGCAGTTAATTTTGTGCGGTGGTGAGTGGGATTTGGGCTGTGCAAGTCCCTAATCACCCGGCAAACAGGGTGAAAACCCACCTCTGCGCTTCTCAATGGCCCTTCCCTGCGTGACTGCATCAGCTCGTTGTAGGAGCACAAGCGTTTGCTCACAGATTGTGCTCAGAAAATCTTTGTTTGCTTACGTTTAAAGCGCGCAACATTTTTCCCTTTCTTTGGACCGCATTATTTTTTCTGTATGTGTCAGGTTTCTTACATTCCTATAGGGAAAATATTCAAGATACGCCGGTTCAGTTGATTTCATTATAGAGATCTTTGGTATTAACATTTTCAGGTTAGGGTTTTTTTTTTTTTCCTAGTTATTCCTCACACATCACTGCATAGCAACAAACAAGTTTAACTCATTTAACATCACCGTGCTTATGTGTAGGTTTGCTTTCCGACTGCAGTAATCTTTGGGGATTTTTTTTTTTTTTACCATAACTTTGATGTGTGCATATATGTGAGACGTTTAATCGAACACCAACATCACCACGCACACACACACACGTGCCAAAAGAACCCCTTCATGTAAAGGAATATTTTCTAAAATGAGGTAAATAGAATTATTAACGTGGAAGGCATTTGCTTTTGGTGTTTATACCTGTAACCCGAGATTTTAATTTTATTTTACTCTAAGTTTTAATGAGTATCGTATCTCATTTGGAGTTAGTTTTGCATACTTTGTCATAAAGGGAGTATTTTTTTTCTACGTGTTTTAAAATTTGGAGTAAAGCCTCAAAGGTTTTTTTTGTTGCTTGTTTTTTGTTTTATTTATTTATTTTATTTATTTATTTATTTATTTATTTGTTTGTTTGTTTGTTTGTTTGCATAGAAATTATTATTAGCCTTAATTGACATGCACTGAGGTTTGCAGGAACTGACATTGACTCAGTGTTCAACAATGATGGAAGGAGAAAACATCCTGACAGCGAGCTGCGCAGGGATCAGACGGAGTTTAACGCACTGGCGTTAGGCGATAATAGGAACGGTTCTGAAAGGTCTGTGAAATCAAAGGTGGTTCTGAATAGTTAAAGTCTGCGTTTAAAAAGGGATAGATGGGCAGATACAAGCCTTGGTTTTAAGTCCATGGCGTGCGGTGTCTCGCCACAAAGTCTGAATGAGTTAGGATTTCTAAGCAAAAAGCTAAATAGAAAAAGAGTTAGTCTTGCACGGGTTTATAGAAGGTAAATGCTGACGGGCTGGGTCTGGCAGTTCCCTTTCCAGCGCAAGGAAATGTGGCAGAGCTGCTGGGTCCCTTCCCCAGCGAAACCCCGCGGTAAGGGGCACTCTGGAAATTGCCTCTGGGATCGGGAGAAAGGGGGGAGGTTGATAGGGGCCGGGTGGGAAAACGGGTGGTGCTGCGGGCCGAGGCGTCAGGCTGGGGGCAGGACACTGTAGGTTGCAGCTGGATATTGGGTTTGGGGGTTTTGTTTTGTTTTGTTTTGTTTTTTTTTCACTAAATAACTTTTCACAAAAGGTGGGGAATAAACTCATGGAACGTGCTGGGTCGGAAGGTGCAGAGAGGGACTTGAAATACGATTGAAGGACCATGGTTGGAAGAACATCTGATTCCGGGGAATTCATTCAGGTGGAAGGAGAAGGGGTAAACTTCAGAGGAGAGGGGAAGGAAGACACCTTCAACCTTAAAAATTGTGATGTGACAAGAACTGGGTTATGAATAATTCAGCGTGAAAATCAGAGTTGGTTTTTGGGGGTTTTTGTTTGTGGTTTTTTGTTTTTTGTTTTTTGGCTTTTTTTTGTTTTGTTTTTTTGTTGTTTTTGTTTGTTTGTTTGGTTGTTTTTTTTTTGTTTTGTTTTGTTTTTTGTTTTTTGTTTTTTTTTAATTAGCTACATCAATCCTGTACCACAATATTTGCCATCTGGGTGTCTTTAGTCCCTCGGTGCATTTAGTCGCCGGCGGGGCCCTTATTGCCTGTTGTGATGGGTGGGGGGTCAGTAAATGGGAAATATTGCTGACCTAAGGGCTGTGGTTCCTGCCTGCTCCCCCCCCCCCCCACCCCACACACAAAAAAATGTGGGTTACGGGGGTTTGCCAAGGGCAGAAAGTCTCGATGGGGCAGCCTGGGGTGAGACACCGGCTCCGCTTCTTGTTTGGTTTGTTTTGTTTTGTTTTTTTTTTCTGGGAAGAGAGAACTAAAAGGACTGGAAGGGCTGTAGTAAAGCAGCAATTCATAAAATCCGTGCCACGTTCAGAAAAATCTAGGTGTGTTGGAGGAAAGATGGAGTTCACTGGAAATACCTGATTCCCAAGCTCTAGGATCAAGTCAATTCTAGCATGGGAGGTTTTGCCGATTAAAAAAGTAGAGTGAATATTAAAATGAAAAAAAAAAAAAAAATCAAACCTGCAGTAATGGCAGTTTCTCCCCCAAATTCTTGGGGTGTGACAGGGAGCAGCCAGCAGTGCCAGTGGAAGGGTGCTGGTGGGGGCCGGGGACCTGAGCTGGGGTGCCCGTTGCTCCCGGGTAGCGGAGCGTGGGGGTTGGCTCCGGCTCTCGCCGCTGCCAGTGCAGCGTGTCTGCAACCCCACCGTCCTTAGCCATGGTTGGAAAAGTAAGCATTTTACCAAGAATATTCGGAGAGGTTGATTTGTTTGGGTTTGTTTTTGTTTTGTTTTGGTTTTGTTGGTTTTTTTTTTTTTTTAATAATACTGAAAAGCTAAAAGTCCTTTTCTTCGGAACAGGGTGCGGGTTCATCCGCGTTCCCGTGACAACTGTAACAGCTTAGCAGATTGTACCAAGGACAGCCCAAAATGTGCTTTAAGAAATGTGCAGGAACACGCTTTTTCAAAAACGGTGGCGTGGGAGGAATTTCCTGCCAGGGAGAGGAGTCGGAGGGGGAGAGCAGGAGCAACCGGGGAGGGGGGGAAAATGCTGGTCCTGAGGCAGAGACCGTGGGTTAAAGTGCACCTCAAATTGCACGTGCTCGTTACTGTCCCGCCCGGTGAGTTACTCCCGGGTGGCTTTGTGAATATGTCAGTGGGGTATATTTAGGTTTTAATGCACGCTGCCTTTTTGGTACAGCCGCCTGTTCCTCGGCACCCGTCAGCCTGGAGCTTCACCTGAGCTGACTGGTTGGGATTGAGCTGCGAAGCACAAGGTGTTAAACACAAGAATATTTTGATGTTGTCATTGCTTATCCCAGCAGAGTACATCACTTAGCATACTAATGAAATTATGTAAAAGGGTTTAGCCCTAATTAAGTAAAATCTGCATTAAGTTACTATGGTAACTTAGTCTGTGTCGAGGAGCTCTAATTACAAGACCGCACCAGCGCTCCTGTTTGAAACACCCAGTGGTTCTTATACTCTGTGTTTTATTACCAGGAGATATTGTGAATTTGAGTCGTGCTGGCTGCTTAGGAGGAGACTAAAGCAAAGAGTGGGACGAGCCTAAATAAGGAACTGGGCAGCTGGTGATGCCAAAAATGTCAGCGAACCTTAGGGAATCCCGAGGGGCCGAGCTTGGCTGGCAGGACAGCAGAGCTTTGTAACCCTGCAAGCAGCCGGCGGAAGCCTTGGCTCGCCCCTGCCCGCCCTGCTGCTGCGCCTCCAGTCCGGCAAACTTCCCCCTTCAGCCCCAACTCAGTTTCTTCTCCGGTTCTTCCCAGAGCCTAGAAAGACGAGAGATTGCAGAGGAGCAGTTCATACACAAACTGATGTGTGTCATACCAAGGCTCTTGTGATCTGGCAGGAAAATACCTTCTTTCATTTAACAGCAGGGTATTAAAGTTCAGGATTATATGATTTTATTTTTTTTTTTTTTATATATATACTTGCGCAGTCATATTGAAGGCACTGAGCTTACTCAGAGTGTCGATTTTGGCTCCAGTAGTGGAAAGGGTCAGTTCGCATCTAGAAGTTCATCAAATTCTCTTGTCTACATATATATATATTTTTTTTTTTTGAGTTGATCACGGCACTCAGCAGCATACAAACCATCAATTCTCTTGTCTATGTATATATATTTTTTTTTTGAGTTGATCACGGCACTGACCAGCATACAAACCATCAAATTCTCTTGTCTATATATATATTTTTTTTTTTGAGTTGATCACGGCATTCACGAGCATACAAACCATCAAATTCTCTTGTCTATATATATATTTTTTTTTTTTTGAGTTGATCACGGCACTCACCAGCATACAAACCATCAAATTCTCTTGTCTATATATATATTTTTTTTTTTTGAGTTGATCACGGCACTCACCAGCATACAAACCAGAGAACATACTGTTTGCACCTCTGTTTCATTTCTGTGGTTCTGTGATGTTCAGAGTACCTGTGCTTGCTGCTTTCTGTTGCTGTCGGTGATACCAGCCCAGATCTGCTGCACCTTTGCTCAGGCTGGTCATGAACAAGATTCTGCTTTGAAAAACACATGCATATATATATATATTTTTTTATATATATAAATAGAAGTAGAAGTTCTTCTCTGTTTCTTTAAGTACTTTGAAATCCTGGAAAATTCAGATACGGAGGTGACAGCCCCACCCTACAGCTCACCCACTCTGGGATGGCACCTTCCTAAGACGGTTTGTGCTGTAAGGACACAGAGCCGGGCGAACCGTGCACACCAGCTTTCGCCGTGCGGTTAAAGCCCCTGCACTCCCACTGCTGGCACGAGCTGTGCCCCTGCTCTCCCCTTCCAACTTCTGCTTGACGTTCCCCGCTGGGGGAATAAGTGAGAGGAGATAGCTGCTAACCTGTCTGTCAGAGTGTGTGTCCCCCCCTCCCCGCCCTGCTCTGAGCTCGGCGTGCCTTCTGTTTGCTTTAGCCCGCGGTCTCTGCGTGTTTTTAATTCCAGATTTGGCAGTGCGGCGGCTCCCTCGAGATTGTCACCTGCTCCCACGTTGGGCACGTTTTCCGAAAGGCAACGCCTTACACCTTCCCGGGTGGCACGGGCCACGTCATCAACAAGAACAACAGGAGGCTGGCAGAGGTCTGGATGGATGAGTTTAAGGACTTCTTCTATATTATATCCCCAGGTAAGAAATCCTTTTCGGATCGTATTATGGGGCGTAGAGCTGTCGGGGGGAAAATGGCAAGTGTAAATGTAAGGTGCGTACAGGTAAGTGTAGACATGGATGCATGTATATGTGCTGAAAGTTGAGACGTAACAGCAAAAGTGCTTTCAAAATTCAAGGGAACGTCCTTTCCGCGTGTCAAACCCTTCTATATCCTGTCCCCAAGTTAAAAATATCAGTTAAGGCTCCTCCTCTCCCAAAGATCCTACTTTTTTTTTTTTTTTTTTTTTTTCCAGAATGTTATTCTCATAATGTTAGTTCGCAGCCGAGCGGGAAAGCTCGCTGACCCCATTTGGTCTTAGAAATGCAGAATTTGGCCGGATTATCCTTGTGAGCCCGGGAGGTGCCTTCGGGAGGTGCCAGCGGGTGCTCTGGGAGCTCCAACCCGTGAGATGCCTTCAGCGCATCCTCCCGCCTCTCCGCTGCCGGGCGTCGGTCCTCGGGGCAAACACCTTCTTGCAAACATCCACATTCCTCTTCCTTTGCGTTAGGGATGGGCAGTCACATTTCGCTGTAGCTGGTTGTATTTCAGCGTAGCTGATTGTCGGTTATATTTCAGTGTATGTCCTAAATAAATCTTAGTCTTTAGAATAATATAATAATGACCCTCAGGTCTCTCACGTGGCAGTTTTCATGTTCTTACACAATTTTAAAATTTACCTCTTCATTCGAAAAATTCGACTCGGAGACAATTCCGCTTTTATAAAATTTAGAGTTCTAAACAAAACTTTTTTTTTTTTTTTTTTTCTTTCCCCCCGCCCCAAACAAACAAACACAAGAATCAAAAACTTTAATGAGTGGCCGTGCTCAGGAAAGAAAGGGTATGTACCTTCAGTGCTGGCTCTAGTAAAGGCTGTTTTGCACCTGTATTTCACGTAGTCCTTTGGTCACAGCCAGCCTCTTAAAGCAGGCATTTTTGAGCTAAGCCTTTTCTTTCTATAAATAAGGACCAGTAGTTTTATTTAATTTGATTTGGCTAAAATAAATGAAAGCATAATGTTAATATACTTTACAGTGTTTATTTTTCTTTTAAATATTTGTATATAAAACGGGAAACTATTCTGGGTGGGTTTTTTTTTTTTACTCCAAACAGTTTTACTGATACCTCAAAATTATACAGTTAATAAAAACTAAATTGCTTCTGTTCAAAAGCCAGAATATACAATGTCTCATGTAAGAAAGCCAGTTATTTTTCACAGTATTTATAAATTATTACTTTAAATGTCTGTCGTAGAGAGTAGCCACAGACTGTGTAAGCTATTGTTACCGTTTTATTGTGTGCTCTGGCATAATCTTCCCATTCTCCCATCTTTAAGCTTTCTTCAAATTTAAATTCTGTAGCAACAGAATCAGTTCAAATTTTCACTGTCGCCAAAAAATAAACCCCACACCGTATTATTATCCATCGGAGTTTTGCGTTTCATCTCCAGCACAATTTACTGTTATTAGACCTCAGCTCATTCCGGCTGCAAACCTGCTTGTTTCCACAAGCTGGTTTGGTGCTTTTTTTTTTTTTTTTTTTTTTCCCAGGGTTTCAGGACATCTCAGTCAATATCAGGTGCCAACATGTAATTCTCAGGCTGTGAAGTCAGAAAACTCTTGGGTTCTGCATGGGTTATTGCACGTGTACTGTGGTTCTCGCGGTACGTGCTCATGAAAATATTCTGAGCCTGCCCTGGAAAACGCTTATCAAGCCAAAAAATTTAAAGCACTATAAAAGAAAAGCCTATGCACATCGTAAGTGCCCTGTTAACGGCGTAAAAAAGATATTTATATATCTTTTTATAGACACGTACACTACATTTGAGTGTCTATAAATGTGTATACGGCCAAAAGATGTGAGCGTGAAAGAAGTCTTGAAAGAAATGTCAGGGAACTGATGGTCCCCGTGGGTCCGAGGTTTGGGGTGGCAGTGGGTGTGCTGGGGAGGCGTTCGCAGGGCCCTGCCTCCAGCTGGCAGGGAGGGAGGGAGGGAGGCGCGGGCAGATTCCCTCTGCCCCCCTGAAATCCCTTCTGGGGCGCGTCCTCCTGCGGTGCTGTCGTGGTTTGGGCCTGGTTGACAGCCAACCACAAGGCAGCACCTCTCTCTCCCTTCCCCTCCGGCAATGAGAAGGGACAGAGAGCCAGGCTTGGGGTTCGAGATAGGACTGGGATGGGGAAAAATTCCCCTTTATGATCACGAGCAAAAGGCAGACTTGTTAGGGGAAGAAAAAAAGAACATACATTTATTACAGACACTAACAACACGTAACAGAGTAGGACAGTGAGAAGCATTGCCACATCTTGAGAACACCTTCCCCCCACCCCTCCCTTCTTCCCGGGCTCAGCTCTGCTCCCGATATCTCTACCTCCTCCCCCAGTGGCGCAGGGGCAGGGAATGGGGGGTGCAGTCAGTGCTGCCACTTCCTTCATGTTCGGTGACAGGAGTGTCCAGAACTTGTTCCTCCTGCTCCATCGTGGTCCCCCTCTCACAGGAGACAGTCCTCCACAAACTTTCTCTGACATGAGTCCCTCCCACGGGCCGCAGCGTTCCCCACACTGCTCCGTCATGGGTCACTAACTTCCTCCGACTGGAGTCTCTCCCACGGCTGCAGCCCTTCCCGAGCTGCTCCGGCGTGGGACACCCCCGCATGCTGCAATCCTCCCAGCACTGAATTACAGCAGCGGGGCTGCCTTTTCCCATGAGACCCCGGCCTTCTTTGGGCACAGCACCTTGATCAGCTGAGCAGGAGCCATAGGCCACAAATCAATGTCTGCTCCCCCGTAGATCTCCATGGGTGGCGGGGGGGGGCCGCCCTGCCGTCTCACCACAGGATACAGGAGGGTCTCTGCTCCGGCACTCCTCCCCCCTCCTTTCTTCCTCCGTTCCTCCACTGACCTTGGTGTTCATGCAGCTGCAGCAACTCTTCCTCACCAGTCCCAGTGCCCGTCACCACGTCCCTTCTTAAATACGTTATCGCAGAGGCGCAGCCGATTGGCTCAATTTCCCAAACAGAAGTGGAGCTGACGTGGAGCTGGGGGAGCTTCGAGAAGCTTCTCACAGGGGGCCGCCCCGATAGCCCCCTCCTCTGCCACCAAAAAACTCCACCACTCACTCAACCCAGGACAGGTGCTCTGGCGGCTGGGCTCAGAGCCGAGCAGCCAGGGAGGAGGGTCTGCTCTCCTCGGGGGAGAAGGCGGTCTGTGCTCAGCGGGGAGCGGCCCCTGGGGAGGGGGTTTCTTGGCTGGTAGGAGGGCTGATGGCCCCCTCCCCTGCCACCAAAAAACTCCACCGCTCACTCAACCCAGGACGCCGCAGAAGAAGAGGAAAAATTCCCGGCTTCAGGACGGGTGACAAGAGCCAAAGCAGGCAGGGAGGTGACCCGCCATCCCCTCCGGCCCGGGTTTCATGTGGGTGGCTGGGGGGGGGCCGTAGGGGGCAGAGCAGGGGCTCCAGAAGCCGGCGGTGTCTCCGGGTGTGGTTTGTCCCCTGCTGCCCGTGCGTCTGCCGAGGCGCGGCGGGGCCGAGCGGCCGCCTTGGTCCGGGGGAACTGTGATTGCTCCTGCTCCGAAAGCTGCGGGAGTTCGCCGTCACTCGCCGTGCTGGCTGTATGGGCGGTGTGAGGCTGTACGGGCGTCGTGTGAGGGACTGTACGGGCGCTGCTGGGTGGCTGTGCTGACAGTATGTGACTGACTGTACGGACGTTATGTGGCTGCAGGGACGGGATGCGACTGTACAGACATTATATGACTGGCTACACGGACAGTATGTGACTGTATGGACAGTATGTGAGTGACTGTATGGACGTTATGGGACTGAACAGACATTATATGACTGACTGTACGGACATTATGTGACTGTATAGATGTTATGGGACTGTACAGACATTATATGACTGACTATATGGACATTATGTGACTGTATGGACAGTATGTGAGTGACTGTATGGACGTTATGGGACTGTACAGACATCATATGACTGACTGTATGGACATTATGTGACTGCATGGATGGTATGTGAGTGACTGTATGGACGTTATGGGACTGTACAGACATCATATGACTGACTGTATGGACATTATGTGACTGCATGGACGGTATGTGACTGTACAGATATTATATGACTGGCTATATGGACATTATGTGACTGTACGGGTGTTATGTGACCAACTGTGTGGACATTATGGGACTGTACAGACATTATATGATTGACTGTATGGACGATATGTGACTGTATGGACAGTATGTGACTGTATGGACGGTATGTGACTGACTGTATGGACAGGATGTGACTGACTATACAGAGATTATGTGACTGTACAGACGTTATATGACTGACTATACAGATATTATGTGACCATATAGACATTATATGACTGACTGTATGGACGTTATGGGACTGTACAGACATTATATGACTGACTGTACGGACATTATGTGACTGTATAGATGTTATGGGACTGCACAGACATTATATGACTGACTATATGGTCATTATGTGACTGTATGGACAGTATGTGCCTGTACAGACATTATATGACTGACTGTAAAGACATTATATGACTGACTTTATGGACAGTATGTGACTGACTGTATGGACGGGATGTGACTGTACAGACATTATATGACTGCCTGTATGGACGGGATGTGACTGACTATACAGAGATTATGTGACTGTACAGACATTATATGACTGACTATACAGACATTATGTGACCATATAGACATTATATGACTGACTGTATGGACGTTATGGGACTGTATAGGCGTTATATGACTGACTGTACGGACATTATGTGACTGTAGGGACATTACGTGACTGACTGCATGGATGGGATGTGACTGACTATGGACATGACGTGCCACGCCTGATGGAAGTGCCCTGCAGACTTCACTTGTACTGGATTTCCCAAAATGTAGAGGATGAACATACCATGAGTGAAAACCAACCACCTTGACGGGGTTCTCTTAAATATGGAAA